ATTCAACGAAATTAAATTTGTGGACGATCGTAAATGGAATGCGTGTAACTTGTACCTCGGACTACTAATACTTGTATTACTAGTCTGAGCTTGTACTGAATGCAAGAGACTGTTTATATTTGCTATGGGTGGTGACTATTATGCAAATTATCTGTCTATTATGTCTTTGGCTGATTAATTAAAACATAGCTTTCAAAACAATGACATGACATGTGCTTTTGTTTTTAATTAATAAAAATTGATTTTTACACCCTATAAAAACATCCAATTCACTTTTTTTCCTACTGAGTGTTTGCTCCCTGTAGTCCAGCATTGAAAAATACAAAAAAGTAGAATTTTGGGTTTCAAAGCAAAAAAATGTGACTGGTGTACAGCATCCTTAAATATATTTTCGGAGAACAACAAGACTACCGATACTAAGTTTTTTCATTGCCCAACTTTGTTGTACCTTGGATGCCACATTTTTTGGCAGATTTGCGTACCTTTTACGATGCTCTATCAGAATGCCACTGTCATTGTGTGCATAAAATTCTCTCTGTGTCAGATCATGTCAATGCAAATGTCTGTCTGTATCTATTTTGATCTGAAATACTTTCTCATTGCAAAAGTACATGTAATCTTGAAGTCTAATAAGTGTACATGTTCCTATTTGTCTAGCTGCCCCACAAGAAGATTTTGATTTCCTTGATGACCAAAATGCTGTACAAAATGAGGTGGGTATTATAAAGTGACAGGAGTCCTACATTTGTAGTACATTCACATGTATACAAAATGTTATTGTACTCTGTTGGTGAATATTGTAAATGTATTAATGTTTTCTGGGTTTTCCCTAACCCTTTATCAGTTAGTTGCCAATCGTCAATTACAAGTGATCTAATACATCTGTGTGATAACAGATCTGTACATGTAAATTCTTTATTTTCTACTGATACCCAGATTCCACAATCGAATGGTCCTACTGATAATTATTCTGCAGTCTCCTCAATGGACCAGGTTAGACAAGAGCCTGAGAAAATCAAGAGATGGAGAGAAGAACAAAAAGAATTATTAGAAGAAAAAGGTTTGTTTAAAACTTTATGACTAGTATTTGCAATGTACACTTTCTATGCCTAGCATTCTCATCCAGGTGTTTTATCATCTATGTT